AGCCATTGACGACCTGGGATAAAAGTACATCCCAAATGATGCGACCGAATGGCAGTGGGTGACGTTGTCGAGTCTGGTGCACAATTAGACCACGACTTTAGTCCTCACGTGAAGATTGAGTCGAGTCCACTGGCTGTATTGTTTCGCAATTCCTTCATACAGATCAGCATGCCTGTGGAAGGCGTGCACCAGATCTCCACTTTTCCACCACTGTCAAATCTGCTGCCATCCGCGGTAGCCGATAACTAGCCGGGTGCATTTTTCGCCGCTCGAAAATATCTGTTTATGCGCACCGGTTGCGTTCATGGATGTGTACGGGCTTGCTTACGCATGGAACCAAATCTGTTTCACACCTGACTGTCTCCTTACCACACAGTCCAACTCCTGGAGTTGTTGATATAGCTTCCCTTGTAATGCATTCTCTCGTGAGCTCATTATCTTTATCTACAAAATAATTGAGAACATTTTGCAGAACATCCTGTAGTTTCATCACGCTGATTTATTCTCCGGTAAGAAGGGTTTGCCTTGCTGAAACGTGACCCCCACACCCCCTCCCACCCAATCGATCGGACTGTCTCGATTATCATAGCCAAAAGAAGTTATGTTCGTCGGCGAAGTAGAATCTGGAATAGAAGATCATATCAGATCCAAAGACTATTTAGCATGGGGGTAAGTAAGAGGGTAATTCACACACACACGAACGCCGTGGCCCGTGCGATCTCGCGCAAAGCTGGACAGCCCGATAATCGTTGGATGCTGTGATTGGTTCATGTGCTTGAGGCACTTGACGTTGATTGGTTCCTTTTTGTATGGCCCGATGGTTGCTCTGTGCTGTCTGGCCCAATGGCACACGCGCGTAAGGTGCCTCGGTATCAACCCTGGCGGATACCAGTTGGATTAGCAGCCAGTATTCTACGCCAAACCCTTGTCCCGGTGAAATGTGCTGTTCGCGATTGCCCCTTACCTTTGTGATCACTAAATTATTTGACCTTGGTAGTGAGCGCTCCACTGGTTTGGCGTTGAACAGTTGTTCCCCTGAATAAAAGTCTGTGGTGAATGTGCCATTCGTTCAAGGTTTGAAAATCAATACAGTTTGCTTTGAAAGTGAGCCGTTACAATCATTGACCCTGGTAGTTAGTCTTTTGCCTGCGGTGGTATTGGGTGAGACACTTCATTGGGTCTTATATAAGGGAATACTGCATTGCTGTCGAGCCGGGTAACGTCCTTGTAAAAGACGCACCGGATGCTTCAATCCACAACGCTTCAAAAACACCTCAGAGTGAAATTCTTTGCTTTTGGTATCGCCGAGCGTGCACAAGCGAAAGATGATCCATCCGTGCAGCTGTCGGAAACAAACAATCAACTGACGTTCTCCGAAGAGCTGACAAACTGTACGCGCTCAGATCAGCAAATGGCGTGAGCGAAAATTGAGTTGGAACAATCAATTGAGGCAGACCTTGAGAACTCTGATGAAAGTACGTTACTACCGGAGTTAAACTGCCTAGTGAATAGGCAAGCTGGATACATAATTAAAAAAGGTGGTCGTGAGACCCACCTTTAGGTGAAAATCAGTGGTTTAGCAGCCAGTGCGAAGTTTATGGCGAACAGCCTGAAAGTGTAGCTCTGCTTGAAATTGAGCCCACGGACCTGGAGGCACCCAATTCACAATAGTGGGCAGTCCTCTGCATGTAATTCGAGTCCAGTAGCCTAATTACCGGTTAGTGGCACAAAACTGTGTGGCGAAATGCAACACTGACGTCACACAAAGTCAGGGTGTGCGGACTGTGTGTGAAAGACTGTTGTATGCATTCACTGCCAAGTTGTTGGCCAGGTAAGTGCTGAAAGACGAGGCATGGGCTGAAGGTTTGGGAAAGGATGGGGCCGTGGTTGGGGCACTTTAACCCTAGACAACAGCTGAGTCATTTCGAATTTCCACGTATACATAAATAAATAATCGTTCAGCTGTAGCAACCTTCCGGTGCCTAACTGCCACGCGAAGGTTGCACGAGGGCTGGGAGACTGCCAGGTTGCCCAAGCCTAGACAGGGGAAGTCGAGAGGCAGAGGTTGGGTTCGAACGATGGACCGTCCGGTCAGTACATTCGCGCTCTAACCACTTGGGCCATCTCGCCCCTCCCACGTATACAGTCTCAGGTCGTATGGCCTGTCAGTAGATCCAGGAAGATGGCTGGCTTTCTGCTAGACCACAATGCGGCCTGGCGCTTCATTCTTCCATCCATATGGTGCAACTAAGAAGCACGCAAAAACGTGGCATCCATATGGAAAAGTATCAATTGCTGGTGCAACTAAGAAGCACGCAAAAACGTGAGATTGAACAATCTATTGATGTATGGTTGGTTGGCACGAAGGATCATACTGAAGATTCATTCATGTCTATTGAACAATAAACGAGAGAAGTGAGCTGAGTTTTTATGGACTGATACTCAACTATGAAAACAAAGTGGAACGAACTCGAAGACAGCGGTGGCATTTTATACCTCAACATATTTGTCTTGGCTTTCAATCCTTTTAATGGTGAGTCCGAATAGCTTCGTAATCGTGCTGCCCTACAAATATGACTTTATGCTCAGTCGTTCGTGAAGTCATCTTTCTAGAAAATCGTTAGTTTTATTGCAGGAACACCTTTTGCTTTTGCGAAGAGAGCTTTATCAGACTGCGCGACAAGGGCATTCGGATTTTTAGGAGGATGGAGAAACAATTGACTTTTTGTGATTGACATTGGGCTAAATCGACGTCATTTGCCGACTGGTTTTTGTTATTTAGTGGGAGCAGGTGCTCGGAGTCGCTCAGGGTCTAGAGCGTGAAATTACTGACCACAGAGTCCGTGATTCGAACCCAACCTCTGCAACTCGATTGCTCCATTGTAGGCCTGGACAACCTGGCACTACCTCAGCCTACGTGCATCCTTCGGGTGTTATAGCTGGACAATTTTTTTGTTGCACTGCGGGCGCTAGTTTGTGACTCACCACTCGATTGCTTGTAGGCCTGGACAACCTGGCACTACCTCAGCCTACGTGCATCCTTCGGGTGTTATAGCTGGACAATTTTTTTGTTGCACGCACTGCGCT